TAACTTTTCAGCCTCAAAATTTAATTATGTATGAGCAAATGTATTTCAAAGTAGCAGCGTGCCGAAATTCTTATCACATCCTACGTATAGCTGCTGATAGGTTAACGCTGCTCGGATACATTTCGATACAGCAAAGGAAAATAAAAAAAAGATCGTGTATTATAAATTAACAAGCAGTAAAATAAACTAGCACAGTGCCATTGCCTTTTTGTTTTTGTAATTATGCACACATCTCCATATTTTCTATGCATTTACTCGTTTTTTGAACTCTTATCGCAGTCGACATTGATAGGCGGCGGCTCATACACATTCGTACAATATTGTATAAGTAAAACTCGCCGCTACGTGTACGCACACATTTATACATACAATTGTAAACAAAACACTCATAAAAACACCGTAAAATAAAATAATTTCTTTACCACTTGTTGTATAATAAAAAAAAACGCACACACACACACTAACCCAAATGCGATTACACCTGTGTATTTTTTTTAATTCGTAGGTAATTCTTTTCTTCAATCTATGCCACGCCAGCGGCTTTTTTTCGTTACTTCAAACACTTTGCACTACATTTAATTTATGTATGTATGTATTTTCAATAATTCAATAAATTAATTCGCATGTATCGTTTTTTCATTATTATTGCTTCGCTTTTATTTGCATTCGAAATTAAGCACTATTTTCAGCTTTAAAAAAAGGCGAAATTATTTGTTAACATTTTGGCAAATATATACATTATTCAGTATTTAATTCGAATTTCGTTTAAACTCGTTTCGTTTACATGCGATTAAATAAAAAAAAAAGCCTATTTCCGCTATCGCCACTTTAAAATCGGTGTCAGCTTAACTCTGTTAAGTTGTATAACGTTTTTTATCACATTTTTTTTTTGTTAAGACGTGTAAAAACGACGCGTGCGCGCGCAGTACTTCCTCCCCGGCGTAAAGCAAAATAGTATCTGTTGGATACAAGACTTTTTATTTTCCCAGCAGTGTCGGATTTTGCAGGCGAACAAGCTGTGAGTTGTATCCAACATGTTCGGGTGAACAACAATTGTGTTGCATCAGTCAGTGATGGAACAGTAGCTAGAATTGTACCTATTTCGGTACTTTTCTAATTTAAACATTCATTCGGTACTAGTATGCAAATTTAAGGTACATCTAGTACTTATTTAAAATGTAGCAACACTAATTTTCAAGAAAACACTGGATCTCATGCATAAAAGGTGAGCTTAAGCTCAGACTCAATTGTCGTACTGGTGAAGTGAGCTCAAGCTCGACAAATTTGTACTGAAAGTCCAGTCGAAGCGTAAGCTCACTTGTTAATGATGCCCATTATCTTCATTTTTTGGTATGTACAAAACAAATAGCAGAGGACCCAAAATACTACCTTGAGGAACATCCGATGACGCGATAAAAGAATACGACTGTGAATTGTCAATGACAACCACACGCCCTCGATTCAAGAGATAGGACTTCCTAAAGAGAAATTAAAGCCTACGCCCGCCGATTTCTTAACTAGTATTGAATGCGAAACTCTGTCAAAGGCCTTTCTGAAAAGTTGATAAGCAGTCTTCTGAGAAAACAGCCAAGTTTGAAACGGTAGATCTACCAGGAATGAGGCCATGCTGTGATGCTGGTTAGCACAAATTAAATTTTTAACCGCAAAAACCATTTTATCTTTAATAATACATTCAAACTGCTTAGAGGTAGTGGAAATCTAGATAGGTCTGTAATTACTCACATCATTTTTGCTGCTGCTTTTAAAACTGAGTGTAATAAACTCCACTTTTCAATCATCATGGAATGGGGTGTAGATAATGATCTAAATGAAAGACCAACGACATCTGTTTGTGAAGAGTTCTTAATTTTAACGATACCTTTGGCAACATCATCCGAGGACAGACGATTCCACGTCCCATTCAAATTCAAAATCACTATCGTACGGCGGAATAAAGTTCGATTTAAAAAGAGAAATCGGCGAAGAGGTTAGCCGCTTCATTAGCAGAATTTGCATTTTGATCACATCGCGAAATTGTATTTAAATGAAAATTTAATAAAGATATAATAAAAAAGTAAAAACAACCTCTCATGCTCATATACCCGTAGTTGCGTAAGTAACGTATACGCCATGTAGCACCATACGCAGTCAACTAAAATTCAGTTAGTGTGGACTTAACTTAATTTAGCTTATCGTAAGAAATCGTCGATGATTAATCAACACGTCAACTTGAGCCAGAAGCGGAAATATTTTGTTTTGTGTGTTTTCTTTTGCAGCTGTTTGACAGTTTGCCGCCTAAAATGCCACATCAAAAAAATTCATGCAAAAAAAAATATGTTTGCGTTCATTTATTTTTGAGAAATACAAAAATTAAAGTCTGGCAAGCCTGATTCTCTCACCGCTCTCAATTTCCGTAAGGCCGTAACTTTGCTAGCTAACCAGGCGCCTATTTCATAAAGCGGCAGTGATAATTTTGTAACGACAGGCAATTTTCATGTTGTCAGTGAAAATTCGACAGTTTGCTGGGCGTTTTGTTTCATGAAATAAAATGCGCGCAATTACCGTAAAAATAAATTTACAAAACTCTCCTGTGAACGCTTTCTGACGGAGCTATTTGGTTTTGTCGCCATTGTCGAGACAATTTTGTCAGAGTGACAATTGTCAGCACAATTGTCGACTATATAACATATTATCACTGTCGTTTTCTAAAAATTTTCACTGTTGCCTACAAACGTATATGAAACACGAAATATGTCGGCGATAATTCTGGCAGTGAAATTTTATAGAAAAATCGACAATTGTCGTACCTGTCACTTTTATGAAATAGGTCTCAGAATGGTGAGGCTGTGATATGTAGCAAGAGCTGTCAAAAGTTAAAATATTCTAAATGCTCTAAACTGCCCGCAATATGTAGCTGTGGTGGTGGTGTATTATTGCTGATGTAGCTAGCGAAATGGCTTGTGGCTGTGTACAAAGTAAGATTCTAAAATCTATAGGTCTTAAGTTTCGTACCATAAGTTAAGTTTTAACTAACCGCCACCACAATTTCGCATATAACAGTTAAGCGAAAATATTAAATTAAGTTAAGTTGCGGAAATTGAGTCTAGACTAACTGAGCTTTAAACGTTTTCTTGCGTGCCTTAAAAGTCATATTATTTGAAAGTAGGTAATTGAATATTAGCGTGGAAGATTTTTACATAGTATTCCTTATGCACATATACATACATTACTTTCTTCATGTATACATATAATAATTTTAGAATGAATTTCGAGTTTGACAGTTAAAATTAAAAAAATGGAATTTTAGTTACTGAAATCATGGCCACCATAATCTTTAGATTCATGTTTTGAGAATCTCTTAAAAAAATAAAATTAAATGATAAAGTGCAAAACTAAATTTCTCACTAAATTTGAATTTTTCACTTTTCCATTTCATAGAACGATGATTGGCCCCCAGCTCGGTAACAGCCGCTGAGCTCGAAGTATACTGAAACTAATAGCCCAATTCTGTATCGGTGGCAAAAGTATTTTTACTGACAAATTTTTATTTATTTGAAAAAAAAACCTACGATAACCTCGAAAATTACGAAGTATCAGATGTGGTTGTGAAATGATTTAATTTAAATAACTATTTAAAATATGTGCAACTAATTAAGTACTTTACAATTTTATTAATTTATTTTATTAATTTTCTCTAAGTGTACTCACCTTTTATTTCGCGTCAAAATTATGTTATGTTTAATGTTCATTCGTGTTATTAATTGCCAAAACTTGAAAAAAAAACACAATCAAATTTCTAATTTGCAGCACAGCGTTGAACCAGCAAAAAACACCACTTTCCACTTTGAGTTTACTCTATACGCGCTTACAAATGGGCGCCGGAAACTCCACGCCGCAAACGGCACACATCCTCAATCCCGCGCGCGCGATGCATGCAATTCAAGTCACACCAAGCGTTATCAATCGCTTAGAGAAAACCAACCAGCAAATTTCTGAAACAACCATACCGTCATCAAGTAAAGATGAACAAATGCATTGTGCACGCTGTTGTACTTGTGGATTCTTCAAGGGCAAAGACAAGGAGGCCAGCCTGTTGGCAATGAAATCGAATGAATTGCAAGAGAGCCAATATGCGAAGACGCTGGAGAAATTGGAAGCGATGTTGGGCAAGCCGGTACGTTTTGCAGATGTCAACGGTGAAAATCTAAAGCACTTGGAACAACAACTACTAAAATGCTATGCAGATAATCCACGCGAGCCGCTAATTTGTTCTCAGGCGGCCAAGGAATACCAAAATTTCGTTTTCCAGCAACAATTCAAAGCGATTCTTAATGCGAAGAATATATCAACACAGAAGTAGTTATAAATGTTTATTTTCACGCACTTAATCACTTTTTATTAAACAATTTAACACACGTTACAATTCACGTTTTCAATCGAAATAAAATTCAGTTGGCGCGGAAATGACACTTGCAGCTGATTTCGTTTTTGCTTGTTAACTTTGGCCAGGCAGTGGCCATGAAACTGTTTTTATATGGAAGTTTTACTTGCAGCGGCTGCCAAACTATGAAATTGGAAAATGTTTATTGCGGAACTAAACCATTTTATTGCGCAACTAAACCATGTTATTGCGCAATATTCTTCGTACAAATATATTACACTTTTTTTTAAACGGAAAATAAGATATTTAAGGATTTCTAAGATGCATACGATTCATACAGGAAACGCGTCTTTTATTCGTTTAAACAGAAAATATAATAAAGTAGATACACTAGATCAAAATTCCAGTGGAACCAAATATGATATATTTTCTATCAATATGCAAGCACATGTATGGATATTAAGGCAAGTGCACACATACATACATATGTACATATATTTGTTTTAAACACAAAAAGCTTTTTCATCGTGTTGGGAGCGCTACGCTCAATATTAAAATTCTCCGCGTTTATTTATGAACAAAATGCAAAAACTTTGCTGATTTCGAGCATCATCATATGTACATACGTCTCTAGTGTTTTCTACATACAGTGCAAAAGCAGCGCGAGAGCTGTGTAGACGCGTGACATGTGCATAGTGTGGAAAATAGTATATGATTAAATGTAAAATAAGTGATTTCATTTAAACGTATTCAAATGAGAACGAAAACGCGTGCAGTATTTCATTCGATAAATTTTACCGGTACCATAAATCTGAATAAAATTATTTTAGCCACCTGACGCTACAGTTTTGATAAGTAAAATGTAAGAACTTTAGTTAGTACTTTGTGATTACATTCAGTAAAAGTTATATACATCTTTGTATGTATATATTAGCTGTGTATTAGTGTGCTTAGTAATCGTTAAACGTGCGGTGAAATAATTCTGAATGGAAATTTTGTTGTTGGCTTGCGTTGTGATGAAAACATACGTACATAAGCACATACATATATGAGGTTGATGACGCGTGACGGGGTGTAAAGTACGTCAGCTTGTGCGTAACATACATACAAACATACATACATACATATGAATATCACTCGTCGTCAAGTGAGCCAAACAAGTGTTAGCGGGTGTTTGTACTTTGTCATGCGAAAATTATGTAAAGCGCTTGGCTTAAATTCATGTACTAATGTACATATACATAAATGTGCTTTATGTGATTATAAAATTCATAAATTATAAACTCTGATATGATATACGCTTTTATGATAAGAGCAATCTCAATTGTTTTGTTATTTTTTGCTCTTTTTGAGTAGTAAACGATTTTATTGTAGTTATCTGTCGCCTTCCGCATTTACTGCTTCCAACGGAAGCTCTGAAATGCGCTATTTTCGATTAGAGTTGCCAGTGTAATGAAAATTTCAAGAAAATTGTGGTTCTACTAAATGCAAATATGTTGCATTTAAATACCTAACATAAAATAGAGGAACTACAATAAATGCGGCACTTCTAGTTTTTATGAAGAATCATAATGTCGATTTTTTTGCAAAACCTCCAATCGCCCTTTTGCAAAGCCGCATAAATCAGCATTTGACTGGGGGAAAAAACAAAATTGATCGCTTGTTAGAGCTACGCGTCCGCTTATGAGATAGTTTTTCTTATAACTAGACATGTTTGAGTGCACGCCCGTTTATCGGAAAGTCCGTGTCTGGGAAAGCATTTTGTAATGAAAAAACGAAAAAATTGTTCGTTCCCAATAATGTATCCGCTCATAGGAGATGTCCGCTTATTAGAGCATCCGTCCATGAGAGCTTTCACTGTATTCCTAAGGCTGGATATCTCGATTGGGCACTGGGCCAAAAATTGGCGTATATTGGTATCCCAATCGTGTGATCCGAAAAATGGCCTTAATCTAAACCTGTATACATTTTTCCAATGAATTTCGAATTAAATGAGATGTCAGAATTTACACCTAACCGAGCACACAAAGAGGTTTCGCTTAAAAAATAAACACGTGGCAACCTCTGCGGGTTCAATTATGTACATATATATATATATTGCCGCCCTCCACACAAAAGCTTTAAATGGTCAAGTTCAATGTCTCTCAGCAATTTAAACTACTCTGCGCGCGCCTATACAAAATATATAGACAACTTAAAAGAGCTTTGCTCGCGCCCAAGGCAGTGCCCATCGCCGAGCTACATACATATATGTACATATGTATATACAGCTACACATTGGTGGCGGGTGTTTTTTTTTTCTTTGGACGCTGTGATAGCGCACTACCCTCAAGTGGCCCAATGAAACCAGGATAAGCCTGTTTATGTTCCACCATTACTTCACGGGGAGGGTTGCCATGAAAATGCCGTCTTTATGTTCCGTGTCGTCACTTCTCACTTCATGTGACGGGTTTTATGGGCTCGTCTTCGCCTTATCTGCTCACTGGTACGCAGCTGCTGTATCACCTGGGCAACCATGCTGCATACCTCTTTTCATGCTTCTTGATTCTTCAACATTAGTGTGTTAGGTAGAAATCATTCACTCCGTGTTATCGTTCCACCCAAGCGCTGATGTTCGTGATAAGCCGATAAGTCCACCTACCGTTCGACGCTTTCTCCCATCTTGTCTGCCACTGGGATATGCTACGTTGGCTCAGTGCATTTTTGTGGAACTTAACATGTCTTGCGTCGCTCAGGCCGCTTAAAGCCGTTACTCCAGGCCGTTTTCCCGTATAGGAGTATAGTATACCACTCCTGCTAGGATTTTCTTTGTCCGCGGAGGTGGCCCGCCGATGTTTGCCATTAACCGAGAAAAAGCGGCTGCTGTCCCCGCAGGCTTTTGGTTAGCATATTCTAAGTTGTCACGGAAGCACAGACGATGGGATGGGATGGGTCTATAAGGACGCCAAGGTACTTCACATACAGTTTCGACTCTATAATGCTATGTCCTACTCTAAGTACTTGCAACCTTTTCTACTTTCTTACGGCTGCTGATAAGTACAGCTTCCGTCTTGTGGTGTGCTTACGTTAGCGCCTTAGCATTTAGCCATTGCTTGCCTGCTGTTATTCAGGCTTCCGCAATGTCTGTAACTTCTCTGAGTGGTTTTGCCTCCACCACGATTGATACGTCGTCTGCAAAACCTAAATATGTTGCGCTTTTGTGAACCTTTAGTCGCAGTGGTTTATTTTATACTGTCATAGCGAAGCATTCTATCCGAGAGATAGTTTGAGATAATTGCCTGTAGGTAAGTTGGCACATATAAGGAGCGAAAAGAATTCTTGACAACAAAGGTGACAAGCATGCAATATTACTTAGTACCATACAACCACCGCTTGCCAGCAGTGGCCACTCCAGCGATTGCGTTTGTAGTTGAGCACTTTTTCCTGAAGGCGTATTGACTTTTAGATAGATGGCTATCTGTGGCCTCTTCGAGTCTGCGTTTGGTAATATGCTCGATTACCTTTCCGATGGAGTCCAACATGCATAGTGGGCTTGCGAGTTTTGTGCCAGTTTTGACGCACCATGGCTACATCACAAGCCTTTTCAATGGCTTTAATAAGCTTTGAAGCTGCGGTTATTGCCGAGCCTGAGACGTGCGTATTGCTGAAGGCTACTTCGACAGTTTTTCGTCGTAACTTTTTAACTTTCATCCGAGGCGTCGTTTGGAAGGGGCTATATCAATAGCTGTTTTCTCAATGGTTATAATGATTGCCTTGTGATCGCTATGGGTATAGTAGTCGCTGATATGCCAGCTGATGTCCCTTAAATTTGTCTTACGAGCTAATAGTGCTATTTATAAATAAATTATTGTCATATTTATAAATTATCTCGTCACCAGAAATGCAAACAATAATAACTACCTTCGTCACTGTAATGCAAAAAGGCCTGCCTAATAAATTTGTTTTGCATTAAATGACGTGGGAAGTTGTAATTCGATGAAATGCATCATATCAATCAAACCTTGAAATTTTATTTTTGTATTTCTTTATGACTTTTTGCATTTCAGCTTACGATATGTACTATCGATTCAGATCATCTGCACGCTCTACCTCGTTAGGCATCAGACAGTTATTAGCGACTAATGACGCAAAACTGTTTGGGTGTGCTTAGATCACCTTAAAATAATGAATATCTAAATAGTACAAACCTTAAGAATTTTGATAAAAACTTTTTTACGTTAGCGATGTAAATATGGTACACTTTAGAGTTGTTCGACTTCACTAGAAAGTCGACTTTCGACTTTTCGATCGACTCTGTACAGTCGACTTTAAAAGTCGACCGATCCACGAAGAAAAGTCGACTTTGTTCGACATTTTTCGACTTTTTTAATAAAAATAAAATGTATTAAGTATACGCCGCATTTAACTCATATATTAGCTATAAATATAAGAGTCAGAATACGCCAAAAATATCATGATTTACTAGTGGTCTTTAGAATAATCTGTAATTTAGTGAAATTTTTAAAAATTTTGAAAATTGTTCCAGGTATACAGCATGAAAATGTTGGTTGTGAGGGTTTTTAAAAATTATATTTTTGAAAAATAATTTAAAAATTTTTAAGTTTTCACAAAAAAAATCCTAAAAATGTTTTCAATCGATATTTGGTAATTACGGACAACTTTTTGAAAAATGTGGCCTTTCCGATGGAGCAGAATTGGCGGGTATTGGTAGAAATATAAGTGCCACTTTATAAGCATTTGATAAATATGGGAGTAGCCCAGACAGCTAGTGGATTCGGACTATCCACACGACTAATGTCGCATATTAACTGAAATCCTACCTGCAACGTTTTTAGCGGTGTTTAAAATGTTGTACCTTACGAATTGGTCAAATTCGAACCAAAAACTGTCTGGAGAAACTTACATAAACTCATGCTGAAAAACTTTCTTGCATGAAATTTTTAAAATAAATACCTATGTTTATCTTACCTCATTATTAAAAGATTTCGGAGGCAAACGATTAACAAATTTGAGGAATTTGTTTTCGTATAGTAATTTTATGCGCTGCTCTTAAATGATTTGACAATGTTGTTGTACTGTCATTAAAATTCATTTCTCTACCACACTTTTCAAATTTCACTTCAGTTTTATTGGCANAACTCATGCTGAAAAACTTTCTTGCATGAAATTTTTAAAATAAATACCTATGTTTATCTTACCTCATTATTAAAAGATTTCGGAGGCAAACGATTAACAAATTTGAGGAATTTGTTTTCGTATAGTAATTTTATGCGCTGCTCTTAAATGATTTGACAATGTTGTTGTACTGTCATTAAAATTCATTTCTCTACCACACTTTTCAAATTCCACTCCAGTTTTATTGGCAATTTTTTTTAAATACGACCAAACAGCACTCCGCGCCCTTGTTAGAAGATCAGTTTTTATATGCAAATAAATTAAAAAAAGTCGAGAGTCGAAAGTGAAAAGTCGACTACAGTCGACTTCCATAAACTAAAAGTCGATCACTAAAATTCGACTTTCAGGAGTAAAAAGTCGATTTTGGTCGAAAGTCGAAGTCGACTTTGCCATCCCTAGTACACTTCAGCGTTCTTTCGGCCGCCCACTCTTACAGCGCAACTCTGGCAACTATCTTGTAAGCTCTTTTTTGTTATTCGAAAGACTAATTAAAAGATTTTCTAAATAGGAGGTATTGACGTTATTCTGAAAATTGAAATATGATGAAATTAAAAAATGTATGCACTTTTTTCTTTTCAAAACAATAAAATCCTCCCATCTGTATGTATGCATTTATGTACTGTTGTAATGCTAGATTTACATACGTGAAACTGAGATTTTTTGCTGCTCTTGAGATTTAACTAACTAAAAGCTTTAAAATTGCGTGCCAATAATATGCATATTTGTATGTCATTATTTTGCCATTAGTTTAAGTGCGTAATGAGATTTCGAATGGAAATAAATTCGCTGTCATAGATTAGGCAAATCATTTCATTTCGCGCTCCTTACATATACATAGTAAAATATTGAAAATATGAATGGGGAATGCCATACATACATCCATACTATTAGAATAGGTATAATTGATATCGTCGAATGTCTATATACATACATACATACAAATATATGTATATGCATATAAAGTTGCATGCATGAATGACCCACAAGACTGTGACTTATGATTATTTCTTTTATTTTCAGCTCTAAAAAATGGTGGTTCCCTTAACTTTAAATTTTCTAAAATCTCAATGGCGCCTTTTCGCAAATGCTCACCCATTGGCTAGAGGTTGCATTTCATATGCTGTAATATGGCCAACAAGTAGTTTGATACAACAAACGATTGAGGGTAGAAATTTGAGTAAGTGATTGTTTATTTACATGTGTAAATGTGTATGTGCATATTTATATTCCCTGCATAGAATTATGCGACTACTTGTTAAAGAGACTAGAGTGGAATTAATCTCCATGGTTTATAACACCGTGCGACAGTAAATTTTACACACAAAAAAATCAATATATTCGCGAAACTAGGGGCCAAAAATTGTAAAACTGCATTTTCGGTTTTTCTCTCCAGCGTCTGGGTTTTTTTTTTTTTTGTAAAAGGACTTCGAAATTTCGAATTTATGATTAATTCAAAAAATTCAATGCAATAGAATATAATAACAATATCGTTATCAAATAATAGGGAAAAAACTATTGAATTAAAAGGTATTAAATTTTTTGGTGCATAAGGACTAATAGGTATTAAGAATTTCGTTTTAAAATTTTATCGTTGAATATCGTTGAAAATTCGCAGTATTTATTTTTGAAGAAAAAATATTTATTTTCGTCCTTTTATCTTTATTCGCTTAAAATATTAAATTAATAGAAATAAATTGAAATATGTGTCCTTGTGAACTGAAAAGACTTCAACTCTTTTTAACAGCATTTTCGGTATAATTTGATACCCATAAGTACTTTTATACATACATACATTGCACTGACTGAATTTTTTAAATAATTTTCAAGTAATATTCTAGATTGATTAGTCTCTTGAGGTCAGAATTGGATTTTAGCTAATCTCTGATTAATCCTTGCGGTTACTTATGACGACTAATTGATATATCTTCACTTAAGCAGCATGCTTTTAGTAAACCTGAGCCCAAATCCGCTCAAAATTTGTTTTAGTTACTTGACTTATTTCGCACTAGTCGAATTTTATGCAGGGTTATTTGCGCAAATATGCATATATACTTAAAGATATGTGAAACCTTAAAAATGTTAGTATATTTTTTTCTTTTTGTGTAATTATCCATAGAAACCTATGACTGGATACGTTGCTTACGATATAGCCTTTTCGGTGCGCTATACGTGGCACCAACTTTATATGGATGGGTGCGACTCAGTTCTGTTATGTGGCCACAAATGAATCTGAGAGTAGGAATTGTCAAGGTATGTACTCGTAAATGCGGAGGCACATCTGTATATATATGTAATGTTTTTGATATTTAGAAGAGATGACGTTAAATTAAACGAATAATGTTAATGATAACAGTCGTAAAGCAAAATGAGTTTATGCTCTAATATACATACATACATATGCATGTAAACCTGAATCTTCATCTTTTGAGACTACAAATTCAAAAAGTTTAAGCTGTCTTTACTAATTATTCCTCCTTTCAGGCGGCAGTTGAGCAAATCTCCTATGGACCATTCGCCGGTACCAGTTTCTTTTTCATTATGAGTTTGCTAGAAGGTCGTACCCCCAAAGAGGCTGTGCAGGAGGTCAAAGACAAATTTCCAAAAGCATTTGAGGTATATACATACGTACACACATACATACATATACATATGTGCAGTGGCGGCAAAAAGTATCGTTTGACAAAAGTATAGCTCCTTATCTAACAAAAACCAAACAAGTCCAAATTTTAAACTTTATACAAAAATTAAGAAAATTCATCCATTCAGCAAAGTTCAACAAAATCCCAAATTTTTTAATCAGAATTTTTATGCAGTTTTGCCCTCTTCGGTGAGTGGGTTAAATTTCTGTGTATTATATTAGGTTTAATTTATTTCAATTAAACTCAACATATTTAAGCTCAGTCCAAAAATAACCCCTTTTAACCCTCTCAAAATATCGTCAAACTTAAACCTTCTTAAAACTCTTTCGTCTGACACCCAGTACTCTACTACTAATATACTTGCAGTATAAAAAATTAAAATGTTTGAAATTTTTATGAAACTTTGTCGAATTTTCCTATTTTTTGCACAAAATTTTAAATTCGAACTAACTTCGTTTTTCTTAGATAATGGCTATACTTTCATAAAAAAAGAAATAAGAAAAATAGCCAAAACTTTTTAAACTGACGCGCCCGTATTTATTTTTGCACCACTGTATATGTATATAAAATATGATTCTATGTTTAAAAATAAGTCATTCAAATTTCTTTTATTTTCTTTTTATAGACGGGAATTTGCGTTTGGCCAATAGTGCAGACAATAAATTTTTCAATGGTTCCTGAACATCATCGTGTGGTTTTTGTTAGTATTTGCAGCTTAGCTTGGACCACATTTTTAGCGTATATACAAGAAAAGGATATGCATGAAGAAGAAAGAATTGATTGGAAGCCAATAGATCCTCAAAAAAGCGATGAAAGTTTAGTTTTAAGAGTAAAACGTGCTTTGGCGCTGTGAATATTTTTAAAAAGGGGGAGACAAAAAACTAATGTGATTCATAGTTCAATACTTAATATGTATATATAATACGATACGATGCAGTGCATAGTTGATTATTGTTGTTAATTAATTTTATTTGTATGCTTAGTACATTTACATAGAAATAGTGTGACAATACCCATTTAGACGAATTTGAAATGCATTGTGCAACAATTGAAGCGTGCATTTATTGTAAATAAAAAGTAATTGTTGTTAAAATGCTACCACATACCACGGTCGTTTTATATTTCAATAAATAGTTTATGATTTTGTATTTTTATTAAAAAGGTACTTTACTTCTCAATTACCTACTCATAACACTGTAGGGAAAATATCAAGTTTTTAAATGTCACAAAACAACGCCGAAACACTTAAACTTAATTCTGGGTCGCAGATTATGGATCTCTATACCGTTTTGCCAGATCAGGTAATTTTCACAAGATATTTAAATTTTTAGGAAAAAATTTATATTTTGAAAAAATTTTATTTTGTTTTCATCTGGATTAAAGCGTACTCTTTTGCCAAAAAATCAGGCTACCAACGATGAAAATTGATGCATAAATCAACAAATGAAAATGTCCAATAATTGTTTTGTATGAAATAGCAGCAGAAAATAATATTACTCATACGCCATATCGTACATAGCCATACTCGTACATTCTCGAGTAACACTTTCCATGTTAAAGTTTGAGTTTTTTCATTCGCAATGCTAACATAAAATGAAAATATCTTGCGAAAATTATTTGATATAATATCTACGACCAAAAAAAAAAATATAAAAATAGATTTTGTACATACATATGTACATACATTATATGGAATAAAATACGCAGCATCCTCGACAAAAAAACGTTTCTAAAAAATCAACGGTAATTTTTGGGTACCTGCAACTTGCACTTTGTGGTACTAAAATTGAATGGGCTACAAAACTGCATACTCGAAAATTTTCTAAAACTCCTGAACAAAAAGTTTGAAATTTTGATGCAATTTTTTAAAGTTTGTTTAATTTTTGTGAACTTTGTGCAAGCTTTGAAATCTTTATTTATGTAGTTTCTGTTATAGATCGAACTTAATTTTAAATGGAAATTGCAAAAACTAAATAAATAAACATAAGTTGCACACACTATCATTTTGAATTTTGCTACTATCTTATTGACCGCAGCTGTACATAAATCCTTATTTCAAACTTTATACAAAAATTATAAAAATAAAAAAAAATTTACCAAAATGCCCCAAAAACTTTTAATGTTTTTTTTTTTTGCTGCCGCTACTGGGCATTTTCTTCCACATAGAAAGGGTACTCATTTAAAAGCGCAAAACTCTCGCAAACTGGACAAACTGTGCAATTTTAAACCCTCGCAAATGAAATGTCAAAATTTGTATGGAAAGCCATTTGCACAAAAAGGGAAACTTTGCGCGGCAATTTTGGAGCGCAACTTTGCGCAGTGTGCTGAGCAACCCTCAATCAGCTATTTTGTTTACATTCATTTTGGTTTGTGCTCAACGCTTTTTCGAAATAATTGCGGTAAGACTTAAATATTTACTCAAATTTGAGTTTCAATTGTTCAACTTTATAAATTAAGTACAGTCAAATAATTAAATGTCAGAAATTGTGTAAAATATAAAATTGTCCTCATGAAACACGTGGCGCAATGTTGCCCAATTGCCCAAATATGAAACTTGCGCGTATATATGAGTACCCGTAGAAAGAAATTTTGAGCATACTTAGCATACATCACATGAAAGAAAATGCAAAACACCGTCAGCTAAAAAAAAAAATATTAAAAATCAACGCGATTTTCTAGCGTTTTGAAATTTGCACTTAACCTACTAAAATCTATAATTAAAAATTTTTGAAGTTCTGAACAAAAGTTTGAAATTTTTGGGGGACTTTGATAAAATTTGTTGAATTTTAAAAATGTTTGTACATAGTTTGAAACGTGGATTTATATGGTCGTTGTTATATACTGCGCTGGACTTGTATAAAAAACATAGTAAACATCAAACTAACAAAGAAATATTTATTGGCAAAACTGGTCAAAATAAAAAGTTCCTATTATTTCTTCCACCACTCTACATATTGAATCAAACGAAATTACATATATCTTAAATATGTATACACATACCTGCCGGGGCATTTATCAAAAATCCCCAAAAGATATTTACAAGCACGACCCATCTCGCTCGCTTACATCCGTTACAGCAACAAAAAGCAGGAAATATGGCCGCTCACATCACATTTCAGCTTATAAAAACTTTTCACATTTTCTACTACTTAACGAAATTATAATTCCACTGCAGGCGGCCATCTTTCTTTTTCGCAAATACACAAACTTTAAACCACATACTATTGAATATATAATATGAATTGCATACACCACACGATTTTATATTTATTTAAGAAGATTTGCACATATTTTAATTCACAAATTGCACATTTTATTTGATTTTATAAATACATACTCCACAGCGAAAATCTCACAGAAATATTAAAACACTGCAACTTCACCGGACGCCAACTAAAACACGACTGAGGAAACAAACTGACCGGAGGTAAAGTTAACGAAAGGAAGTTGTTCCAAGAAGAAAATTTGTTAACAACTTAAATTTAGCACTGACCCAAACCATTATTTAGTAGTGTATTGCCATTCAGCTAATGAGCGCCAGAAAGTATGCAACGGATGGAGAACTAGAAGTTTCTTTCAGCTGAAAAATGTGTTTTCTGGGTGAAGGAGAGGAGCAATTGTTTACATCTTGATAACGAATTGTAATAGTACCGCTTAACGTGTAAAAAATTATGAATGAAAATTGTTTTTGTTGGATTTGTCGTAAATAGTAGTTGGCAGAGACAGATAGGCGACGTACTTGTGTTAATTTGTTTTTTTGGGTAGGTATACTTTTATGAATAAACAGAGCAAGTGACGTTTTCTTATACCTAACTTTAGTCTGTTTACGCGAACACTAGTACTAACTATTAACTGTATATTTTTTTCAAACAAGCTCGCTATGTACTTTTGTGAGGCGATGGCCGCAAAAGTCAGTTCTAGATATCTCTGCATTACAAGTCTAGATACCCGGGTATCGAGCAATACGAGTAGCTCGATACTCGCTCGAAACTCGTTCATTGCTCAACTGCTCAAATGTTTGTTCAAAATATTCGAGTTTTTGAACAATTTCATAACCAAAAGAAAATTTGTAAATTGTATTTGTCAGCAGCTGCTTTCTAATTCATGTTAAATAACTTATATTACTAAATACCAATGTAACAATCTTTGCATTATATATCAATAATTTGAAAAATTTTAAAAGTTGCTACCAAAAATGTCAATATAATAAAAAAAAACATTGCTCAAATTACTCGAAAAAACTCGAATTGCTCGAGCTCATGCTCGGAAAATTTCGAGTAATGAGCATTGAACAAGTGTGCGAGTACTCGCCGCTCATATACCCGGGCTGTTTGAAAATGTGCGAACAAAATCGAGAGCTCTAATTACAAGTCAACTAAATTGTAACTAACTACTTTTGGACATAAAATACCTAATAAATTTTTATTTTTTATTTTTTACATTTTTATTTATTTAATTTATATTAAACATTGCGTATTTGTTTAAATACTCTGCAGTATGTGCTCCTCTAACCGAATTCCGTCAGACATAACATCAAAACGATAATATAAAATTTCAAACTTCATTTTATTTGTCTTGAATACGAAAAAGTATTTGTGAAGTGCAGAAGTAAAAATGTATTCAAAGAAATTTTTGTAAGAGGATTTTTAAATAGGAACTTGTAAAGAAAACATACTCCCGCTTGCATATGCATGACTTCTGCACGACTTTACAACTCACTTTAAGTTGGTTTTGTCTAGCTAATTAAAAGTGAGGCATTTATCGAAATCCCGCCAAAAAGCTAACAGTTATCCCCAGAACTGCAGAAATAAAAAAAAAAACAAAAATTCGTTTTTTTTTAATCGGTTACTATTTACCATATTGCTATAACCCTCAAACTAAATATGTAGATATTATTTGTTCCCTTCAGAAATCTTCAAAAAATAAAATCTGCTTGTTTATCCGGATTTAAATCTCGCTTTGGAATCCGATTGTTAAAAGAATGCGGCGAGAAGCTATCATCGGATGCCTGCCTGGTCTCTTTAACCACAAGCTCAGAAATATTATTTACGAGTTGAAGCTTTGCGAGGACCAAATATACACTGCAGACGAGACCGGTTTGTTTTTGAAAATGCTTCCTGAATGAACGTTTGGCAACCAAACTGGCATCATTCCGATCTAAAAATATTGATTTTCTACACCATTTCTAGGAAAAGTTGTTTTTCCCCCATATAAAATACATGAGTAACTTTGAGCGCTTTGAGCACTCCCTGAATTTTTTTATTTCAAAATAAACAACAGGGTTTTTTTTCAGTAAAGAACAATCCTAGGGGTGCATAAAAATTCCACATTTAAATTCCGACTTTAGTTTTTCACATGCAATTCTGGACCACTCTAATATACATAGTACGAAAAGGGGTAAAATTTAGAAAAACTGTAAATTCAGTTTACGTGCCTTTAGCAAAAAAAAAAGCGCCTTGTATTCGGTCAGGAATTAATGGAAACAGGATATTGCAAAATACTTCTTCTAATTTTGTAGTCCCAGCATTTTTCAGACCATCTTTCAGTACCAGAAAAGCCATAGGTTTATATTGAGTAGATTTCGTTGCATTTCGTGGCATAAATGGTTAAGGAGACTATCACCACGTTTATATGATGCTTCAATTCGTTCCAAGGCAAACCATGTTATATGGATAAACACATGTAAACACATTCTGTAATCTAATTGAAACTTTTAACCGTGCCACCATAAATCACATTTTGAATGCGAGTTAAGAGTTGCATATAAACACGGAATTTGTCCACACGGTGGTTTCATGCAACTCTGTATAAAGTAAACCATACAAATAGTTCTTAAAAATACATTTATGCTAAGCTTTGTTATAAAATTAATAGCTAGGATAATTTTTACAAGGCTGTTTGTGTCGTTAACTATTATTTTTCAATGTTCATTATTTTCAAGAAATAATACATGTATTAACAGGGTTGCATCGGGATAAACTCTGTTTCAAAGTGTGTTCGATCGACCTGTGTTGCACATAAACCAATTGCATTTCAAGCGAGCTACGCTGACACGAGTTAATTCGATACCGCGTTTGATGCCATATAAACGAGGTA